AAGCTCAGTTCCGGATGCCTGGATGATGCCAGCAAGTGGGGAGGTCGGGTTAGGCCAACAAGCTTGAAGGACCAGGAGGAAGTACACTGACAGGCCAAGCCATCCCTTGCACCACAAGAGACCCTGCCACTTCTCCCAGCAAAGCCATGGGGTCTAAACATCATCAAGAATCAGTGCAGAAGCCAGATCTTCCCCAGAGACCTGCACCCATCAGAAGAGGAGGCAAGCAGGCCAAACTACCAGAGGCACTCCATGCTGTTCCATCCGCAGGAGCCTTGCCCCCTCCCACCAATGGACTTCCCTGTCAGTTCAGACACAAGAAGAGAGGGGGAAATAAGCCGTGGCTGGCTGTGCTGCTTTGGGGCGGCAGCGTCTGGCTCAGCCTTGCCATCACATTAGCCAGGGCCAAGGGTGGAGGCAGCCGGGAGGCCAGTTCAGTCCAGATTTTCCCCTTATCCACCTCTGACTACACTTCAAAGCAGGAGTATTTTTGTACAGCCCAGCAAGGAGCGCAATGGGCCAGCTGCTTGCAAAGCACAGGGAGGAGTTAACCCTTTGAACGCAGGCATCTTCCACCACTGCCAACACTAGCTAGGGAGAAGGAAAAGAGGAAGGCAGCTGGGGAGCCTCCAAAGAGCCACCCTTGGTGTGGCTGAAAAGCCAAGCTGACTGCCCACGCTCTCACCAAGCTCAAGATAGCTTGGTGTGATGCTTGAGGAATTCAGCTGGGTGACTAAGGTGAGACTCGGTTCCTGCAGAAACCCCTCTAAATAGTCAGGCTGGATAGAGGTCCGGAGAAGGCACCCGCTCCAAGAACACTCTGTGGGTGCTGTGCCCGAGCCCTTTGGCTGTGCCACCATCCGATGGGTGGTTGGTGATGGTTCTGGAACCCACAGAGCAAGCCAGGAGAGCCCTGTGTGTCAGGCTAATCTTGAGGCTGTGGGGACAAGCCCTTCCAGTCCAAAACCAAAATGGTGCCCCACACTAACTTGCACCGTGGAAGGCAGAGAGGACACAAGCAAGAGCTCGGGCAGGATTCTGCCTTGACAAGGGGAGGCCAATTGGCGCTGGTGATCCAGAGGAAGCCCAAGGATCATATACTATGGTCTCATCAGCCCCCACACAGGCAGCCCTCTACCCTCCCCTGGCAACACTCCAAGGACCAGGCTGACAGCAGAAGATCGCCCAGGAATTAGCTCATCAGGAAGAAGAAGATGCCTTCCTGGAAAACAGAAGCAGGCAGTGCAAGGAGCAAAATTAAGGGCAAAAGCTGGCACCAGAAGAACACCACTCAACAGGTTCTGTCCTTCCTTGGCTTACAGAAGTAGAGAGCTGAGAGGACTCACTTCTCACCAACTATCTCTGTACTCAGAAATTCCTTGTCTTGCATTCTGGGGCCGAGGGATCGTCTCTTTCAGTGTAATGTCCTTTTGGCCCTTTGAAGCGCACTGCATTTTCCCCTCCGTCTTCTCTTCCAGGGGCTAAGCATGGCCAGCTCCTTCAGTCTCCCTTCACAGGACTAATTCTAATCTCCTACTCTTCTTCTCTGCCTTTCCCTGAACTGGGGGCAGTTTGTCCAATTCTTTTTATAGCATGACATCCAGAACTTGAAGTCTGGTCTAATCAAAGCAGAAATTATTGTTGTTATTAAAATAGTTTTATTTTACATTTTACGCAAAATTAAACTCTAGCATCCCCTCTCCCTCCTCCAATTATTGTTATTGTTATTATTATTACAATGATTTACTCCCACCTCAATTGGGGGGAAATCTAGCTGATTTTAGAGACATTAAAACATAAAAGTAATAAGCAATATTGGATTGCAAGAATAATAACCAAATTCTATCAATTAGTATAGGTACAGTTGTTTCCACTAGTATTACTTCCCATTATCTGGAAGCTAAACTGATGGTTGTTGCTGTTATGGCTACACAACTGTTAAAATTCAAATAGTCCCAATCCAGAATATGCCTCTGTCCCCAGCGCACTGGCAAAACCACTTGGCCCCAGAATTTGCAAATCTGTTCACACCATTAGGGAAACAGATTCCACAGCTATGCTGTCAGGGCTCAGCTTAATTAAGAGTTTTGTGCAGCTCATGGACCAGATACCCTTGTGAAAGGGGTAACACTCCCCTCCTCTCCTGCCCGCTACTGAAGGGAGTGAAAATGCCCTTGAGCTCTCCTGGGAGGTTCACATCCATCAGATGGCCATAAGTGTCTGTGGGGTAAGGTTCGGGCATCACGTACACCACCACTTTGGGCACAGACGTCCCAGAACCCCTGTGCATGTTTCTCAGGCTGCTTACCACTTCACAAAGAAACCCTTTATTTTAACAAGTCTTACCCAGCCACCCAGCCACCCCCAAATGTGTGGAACAACAGTGCATCCAGCATCGGCTTCAAAGATTCAAGGTAAAGAATTGTAGAAATCCCTGCCTTTGGACACAATCCCAGACAAGGTGTTCTACAATTACAGCTGCTCCACAATGTGTGCTCTGGACCTTCCAGCAAAGATGCTGTTACAGTAGGTCTGCCTCACCGCTACCGCCCAGCTGGTTCTCTTACTAGGCATTGCCCATCTGTCTCACTTGCGGAATCAGCACAAGCCCCAATGCGAACCTCGTGCCGCTACTGTGACAATAGCCACACAAGAACTTGAAGAGCTGCCTTCTCTCATACACATCAACCTCGGAGGCCTATTCGAGCTGCTCTGTCATCAGAACCAATGGAAATGGTGACAAGCAGCCAGGAGGAGGGTGAAGGTGGTGGGAGGCAGCACCCTACACCCCACATCTGCAGTGCCACTCGCAGGAGGCACCTGGGCACTTTCCCTCTTCCCAGAAGTCGGGCAGAGACTTTTTCATTCTCTCCTGCTCTGCAAAGCCCCCCACTTCAATCTTGGAGCTGCATCGTTAGCCACCCTCTTTGGCACTCCAGATGATCAGAGCTCTGCTCTGTACGTCAGTAGTACTGACCAAAAATATCATTTATGTGGAGAATGAAAAAGACACTAGGATACCTGACCCACCGTTAAAAAGTGGGAAAGACTACAGTCTAGGCTACCCTGGGTTGTTTCTATGATTTCCTGAGCCACAAATCCTGGCTTACAAACATCAATGGTTGAGTTCACCAGATGTACTAAGCCAAAGACAAACCAACATTTGGGCTTAGCTAAGGGAACCCTCCATGACAAGAAGCTAATGGAAAGCTGAAATTAATTTTTCTCCACATTTCTCCACTGTTGGGGAAAAGAGATGGATGACTTCCCAATTCCCAATTAAGCCTCTCAGAGCAGAAAAAGGTGCCCCGTCTCCTACCCCACCCCAGAAGGGATCTCTTCCCTGGCACCTCAATTAGAGCAGCCAGGACTTCTGCTGTGCTGCCAGCCACCTTCCTTGTATTGATGCCTATTTAAGGGGGCAGCTTCCATCTCCTGGGCTGTGTCAGCAGCAGATAGGCCTCTGCCCTCACAGCAGGCCTAGTTAGCCCCAACATTCGCCTTGCAACTGGTGCAGCCTCAGGGAAACTCCAGAAACATCAGCTTCGGGAAGGGAACACACAGCCCCTTCCTGAACCAAGTCCAAAGCTCCAGCCCCTGGCGGGAAAAACAAGGGGCCTTCCAAAAAATCCAAGATTAGATTCAGGTAGCCATGTTGCTACAAGTCAGAGGGGCTGATCTCAGGCCTCAGTACCCCACTGTATTCAAACACAGCCATGTTTGCACTTGCAGAGAATATATAGTTTTGAGAAAGCCTTTTCCCTTATTTTCATTCCTGCCTCTGCTTCCATTTTCCACAGTGCCCAAAATAAACAGCATATCCACAAAGGCTTCAAGATGAAAGAAAGAACTTCAGTTACAGTATAAAGAAGTACAGGCTAGAGTGATCTGAGGCTGCCTATAAATATGCAAGATCAAAGCTGGTCCTGTTAAATTAAAAATGCTGTCACACAGATAGGAACTAGCCTCTAGCACTGCCGGCTTCAACATGTGAGCCTCTGATCTGAGGCAGAGCGAAAGGGGGGGGGGAGCTGAGCACCCCTAGAAGCTGCATTCACCATAAGCAGAGGAGGAGGAGGAGGAAATGAAAAAAAAGGTTCACCAGTAGCAGACTAGTTTTAATAAGGTGATTACACATTTTTCATGCAAATTGTTAGAATTTAACCGGCAGCCTCTGGGCTCTGCGGGGGACACTGCAGGGCAACACTTCTTCCTAATCCAGAACCTCTCAAAGCTGGAGCAGCCCTTGTGAAGTGACCTCCACCCCAAGCCCTTCCTCTGCAGACCTGCCTTCAACACACACGCGCGCAGAGCCCGTGTTTCTTACTGGCAGGGGAAAAGCTCGATCACGCGAGGGCAAATGCTGCCCATCAGCGTTCGGAAACCTCCGTGCGGGAACCATCGCCGCATCAACGCTTCCACCCTGGCCCGTCCCCAGCGCATCTGCGGGGCTCGCTTTTCTGGAATGGAGCCCGCAAATACACACGCAGCTCCTGGGTCCTTGACCCGAAACCCACGTTCAGCCAGAATGGCTACCCGAGCACAGCAGCAGCCACCCGCGGGCTGCCCTCGGATTTCTGCAGCCCCACTGGCCCCATCTCCTTGGCTCTGGACTCCCGTGGCTCGAAGGCGGGGGGGGGGTGTCCCAAAGCGGCCTCTTCAGCCCACCCGCGGTTAAAGAGGAGCAGCAGACCCCGCGATGCCGTCCACGAAGAGGCGCTGCCTTCCTAGATCAGGCTCCAGGTCTCCGGCCAGACCCCCGAGGGCGGCCGAGCGAGCCGGGACCGTTGCTCTCGGGCAGCCTGGGTGATGTTCGGCGGCCCGCGAGCCGCCTTCTCCCGAAACGAAAGTCGGCGGAAAGCGCCGGGGAGGTGGCCGAGGAGCGGCCGTTCCTGCCCGGGCGCCACGCGGATCCCGGGCCCGTGCGCTCTGCAGATGCTCAGGGGGCGCCGCCGCTTTCCCACCCGGAGCCATTTTGCGCCGCCGCCGCCGCCGCTCACCTGCACGATCTCGCCCTCGGCGCTGAGCGTGGCCCCGGCCCGGGAGAAGCGGCCCTGCAGCCCCGTGGTGTAGGTGGTATAGTCGCCGCCGGGGCTGGACTCGAAGAGCACCACCTCCACGAAGGCCGCCTCCCGGCCCAGCGCCGCCGCCGCCGCCGCCGCCAGCGCCACCACCAGCAGCGGCCCCGGGCCCGGCCTCATCGCGCCGGCGGGCCCCCCGCGCCGGCCCCGGGCAGCGGTGGCGAGGGGGGCGCCCGGCCGGGGTCGCGCATCGCGTCGCGGGCGCCGCCGGGCCTCTCTGCGCCGCCGGGCGGCTTCTCCTTCTGCCCGGCCTCCGCCTCGGCCTAGCGTTGTCTCCCGGCGGCGGCGGCGGCGGCGGGGCGGCGGGCTGGCGGCAGCTCCCTCCTCCTCCTTCTCCTCCCGGCCCAGCCGCCGCGTCCCTTTCATCCGCTCCACGTGACGGGGCTGCGGCTGTCCCCGCCTCCGGCCGGGCCCGGCCCGCCTCGCCGCCGCCTCCTGGCCGGGCAGCGCGGGACCTGACGGGTGACTTCGTCTGGGCGGGGCTGGGGGAGCCCGAAAAGGGTGAACGTGGGGGTTACGCCTCCAGGCAGGGCTCCTCCAAAGTGAGGGGCATCCAGCGGTGGAAGCCCACCTTGTAGCTGGTGGCCGAGTGGCTGGCTAGAAAGCCAGATTTCGGCTACCCGCCTCCTCCTGCCAAAGAGCTGTGGTCCCCAACCCCCGTCCTGAGCAGTAGCGTCAGCGTTGGAGGAAGACTCCCGTTCTTCTTCCACAACACGAGAGGAACACGGGTGCGGCCCCGCGGACGTTCAAGGGGAGCCGCTTCAAGGGTTTGGGTGAAGCAAACTTGGATTATCAGAAAATGGGGGGCAGGGAGCCAAGAAGGGGATGGAGCTGCCCTGACGGGCCGGCTTTCTTAACCAGTTTGCCCAGCGCGGGACGGGCCCCCTGGGCAGCTCTCAGCAGCAGCAGGCTCCCGGAACGGCCCCTCGCAGCACCCCTTATCCGGCCAGCAGGCAGGAAGGTGGGCTGCAGACCTCCTGAGGTCGAAGGCCCCGGAGGCGGAAGTCTGCTTCCTCCCAGCCCGGGACCCGCAGACTCCTCCGGGCGCCAGAAGAGCACTGGCCATCAAACCCGAAGGAAGTTGAGAGGAAGGAAGGGCTGCGGGCGGCTTGTGCTCTTACACCAATTCGGTTTGCTGCCCGAGTCATCTGCTCCTCTGCTGGTTGCTAAAAAATGAGACCTGCCGGCGGAAAGCCGCTCAGGCTGTGTATCGGATACGGCTCTGTAGCCCTCATGTCCTGCCCAGTTCCCTGTATGCTCACGCCCGGAGTCCACTAAAACGGGGCGGGCTGCAAATACCTGGAGGAAACATTAGATAGGCGGATAGCCTGTCAGAGAGCAATGGCTCTTTCTACAGAAGCCTGGTTGTGCCCGCGAAGGGGAGGAGAAGTGCCATTAGCCGTGTTCAGCTGCTTCAGGCAACCAGCGTTGGCTATCAAGTGGCTTCTGCTCTGGGGCTGCAAGATCGCTAGGCAGATTTCCCCGGTCCCTTTAGATATTGCAAATTTTTAAACCTCCTTTGAAGCACCATAAATGGCGGGCCAAGTACAGCAAACCAGAGCACACAGGAGTACGGGTGGTGTTTTCAATAAAATACACTCTGAAACCGCTGGCTTAGAATATAGAGAGATCCCTGCTTATGCAGCGGGACTAATCTCCAAGGATCCGCCGCCCATTTCAGACAAAGTCCAGCGGCGGCATCCGACGGCTGAGGACCATCAGCTGGCGACCGCCAAGGCTAAGGCCTCTGCCGCTTCCCTCTCGCTCGCTCGTCGGAACCTTCTGCTGGTCGGAGCGCGGAAGGATCCCGGCGCCCACCCACCGCAGCAACAAGGACCAAGCGCTCCCGACTCGTGCCTGTTGCGTCCCCGGGGGGGGGGGGCGGACCGCGTGCTCAGGTCGTGTCTCGGTCTGCACAAGGCCGCATCCGGGCAGACCTCCCGCTATGACGGCAGCCGTCCAACAGCGCTCTCTGGCAACAGCGGGGTGACGGCCGCCAGAGTTCGGGGTGAGGAACCCGCCTGCATTTCCCACTCCGAAGCTCAGCGGCTGCGCCCGCACGGAGCACGTGACTGCGCTCTTCACTGCGCTGTATTTTCCTTCACGCGGTTAATTTGGGCTTCTCCTTCTGGTTACACATCGGGAGCTGCGAAAAGTCCCCGGTGCGTAACCAGCTGGAATTCCCCGGACTAAGCCCGGTCGCGTCGCTGGCTACAGGGAACCCCGCCCAGTCAGGATGTGCGGAGGCCGCCGCTTCCTCGAAGGAACCGGTTCCGCGGGTTCCGCCCGAGCCCTGCTCGACGCAACCGAGGGCGGGAGGAAACGCTCGCGCGCACCGACGAACCCAGCCCACCCCAACTCCCTCGCCGCCGTCATTCTGCGGCTGCGCGGGTGCGGGCGGCCAGCGTGGCGCTCGGCGAAGGCCAGAGGCTTGCGTCAGGCGCCCCTGACGCAATCGCGCCCCGCCTGTGCTTGTCAGAGGCCAATCGGCAAGCGTCCCCATGGGGGTGTCTCCTGACGGCAGCCAATCAATGAGAGCCACGACGTGAGATATGCGCGGGAGCCGCGGACGACCGCAAGCGCAGACGGCTCGACGCACCGTCGGAGCCGGTCGTTTCGGGGGCTCGTCGATCGCGAAGGAGGGGGAGGCCGAGGCCGCCAGCGCCAGCGGGATGGCTCCGCTGCCGGGCCCTGCAGCGCCGCCGCGGCTCCTCCTGCTGCCCGCCGCATCGACGGCTCCGGCGGCCGCTCCAGGGGCTCCCTCGCCTTCCCCGCCGCCCCGTAAGCGGCAGCGCCTGGCGCACCTCAGCCCGGAAGAGAAGGCCCTACGCCGGTGAGGCCGGGACCGGGGACTGGGCGCTGCGCGGCGCCACGCGAACTCCTCTCACCCGCTTCTGTCTCCCCTCCAGGAAGCTGAAGAACCGTGTGGCGGCGCAGAGCGCTCGCGACCGCAAGAAGGCGCGCATGGGCGAGCTGGAGCGGCAGGCCGTCGAGCTGGAAGCCGAGGTGGGGCGGGGAGGGCGGGCGGCCGGGGTGGGGAGGGCGGCCGGGCGGCCGTCCCGTCGGGCGCCCCCTCACCGCCTCTCTCTCTCCCTCTCTCTCGCAGAACCAGAAATTGCTGGCCGAGAACCGGCGCCTGCGGGAGCGCGCACACAGCTTGGCGCGCGAGAACCACGATCTGCGTCTCCGGCTCGGACTTCCCGCGCTGAAGGTGAGGATCGGTAGGTCGAGGGGCCCGGCCAGGGCGCCTGCCTCCGCCCGTCTCACCAAGGACCCTTCCCCGCAGGTGGAAACGCAGGAGGAGACAGCAAGCATCGCCCCTGGGGGGGCAGAGACCGGGTCTTCTGAGTCCGCAGCACTTAGACTACGTGTTCCTCCGCAGAAGGGACAGGCCCAGCAGTCTTCTGCCTCCACAGTGGGGGAGAGGAGGAGGAAGAGGATGAAGGTGGCCTCCCTCTGGGCACAGACAGCCTGGCTTCTTCAGATGCTGAGGTGGGTAAAAATAGCTGCTGCCCTTCCTGATAAGGTCCAGCTAGGAGCAAATGTCAGGGGGATCCTCTGAATCACCTGTCCTAACCAGCAAAATGGTGTGTGTGTGTATCTGTTCTCTTACAGTCTGATCTCCTCTTGGGCATTTTGGACAGTCTGGACCCAGACATGTTCCTGCACTGCAGCAGCTCCCAGGCAACCTTTGAGAAGCTGCAGCAGGAAGCGTGTGGAGAAGCAGCTGTTCCTTTACCTGCCTCCACCAGTCCCTCCTTGGGGCCTGCACCACTCAGGCAAGATGCCATTAATGAACTGATCCGCTTTGATCATGAATACACCAAACCATTCTTCCTGGAGATCATATCGGAAGCGGCCACCCAGACCAGTGCACTCCTGGAGGAAGTGGTTGCTTCTCCTCCCCTGCCGGCCCCCATCTCTGTGAAGGAGGAGCCTACAGATACCCTTTTGCCTGACCTGGGCCTCTCCCATTTGCTCTCCTCAGACCAGAGGCCTCCCTCGCTGCTGGATGCAGCCAGTGACTCGGGTTATGAAGGCTCCCCCTCCCCCTTCAGTGACCTGTCCTCTCCTGTGGACACAGATTGCAGCTGGGAGGAGGCCTTTGCCAAGGAGCTGTTTCCTCAGCTGATCAGTGTGTGATACCTGCTTAGCTTATGGACAGCCCTTGGATGGACAGGTGTTTTGGAAGAATGTTCCTCTTGAAAGTGTTTCATCATATTCCTAAGTATTGCTTTTTTTGTATGTCGCCTCTGCCTGGCACCTGCCTCATCAAGGTGTTCCATTGCCCTTCCAAGTCAGCTTTGTTGGAAAGAAGGGATCCTGCTTAGGGAGAAATCGCTAATCCCTCTCAGTAGCTTCAATGTGTAAATAAAGGCGGTGGGGTCAGATATTATGTAAATATACACATACTGTATTTTTTGAAAGTTATTTTCCTGCAGGATATTTAAAATTTGCTGTAATTAAAAGGCAGAGCAAGTGATATTTTTCCTACCTTTGTTCTAAAGTGGGAGGGAGGTAACAGTGGAAGATCATTCAAAAAGGGGGGGGGAGAAATGAATTGGTCCCTTTAAGGTTCTGCACAAACTCTGCCATTCATATTATTTGGCAAACTAGTTCAATTATCTTGAAATAATTCAGTTCAGCCGTTCAATCCCTAGTGCCGCATAACAGAGTGTGCTCCCGTTACTTGTCCCAGCTTCTGCCAACCTAGCAGTTCGAAAGCATGTAAAAATGCAGGTAGAAAAATAGAGACCACCTTTGGTGGGAAGGTAACAGTGTTCCGTGCGCCTTTGACGTTTAGTCATGTCGGCCACATGACCAAGGAAACGTCTACGGACAGCGCTAGCTTTTTGGCTTTGAAATGGAGATGAGCACGCCCCCCTAGAGTCGGGAATGACTAGCACATATGTGCGAGGGGAACCTTTACCTTTAAATACACATGCATTCTTAGTCATATAAACTATTACTTGAAATAGGGCAATCTAAACTACGGTGTGTGCAAAATTTAGGGAAGGTTAAACCTTGGCCAGCCATCACAAAAGTAGCAGCTGTGCAGAACACACAAAGTTT